GAGTCCTGGTGCCAATCCAGGAGTCTGGGGCACACAGTGAGCCCCAGTGCTGGTGCAGGGACCCTGGGCACAGAATCAGCCCCAGAGTCAGAGCCCTGGGCACACGACAAGCCCTGCTGCTGCTCCAGGAGCCCCGGGCACACAGCAAGCCCCAGTGCTGGTGCAGGAGCCCTGGGTGCACAAGCAGCCCCACTGTCACACCCCCGGGCATGTGGCACGTCCCACTAATGCTGCAGGAGCTCTAGGTGCAGAGGGGACCCCGGTGCCCGTCCAGGAGCCCTGACCAGGCAGCAAGTCCCACTCYGGGTCCCCGGGCACACGGCGAGCTCTGGTGCCCATCCAGGACATCCCCATGTCCATGGCGAGCTCCAGTGCTGGTCCAGCACCTCCCAGTGCACAGAGAGCCCTGGGGCCGGTTTGTGTCCCCAGGYGCCCGGCAAGCCCCAGTGCTGGCCTGGGACACAAGTGACCAGGGCACCAGCAGCGCCGCGTCCTGCTGCCCCATGCAGAGCGCCCTGCTGCCCAGCCCGCACCCCACAGTGCCGCGGCATCCATCTGTGTGGCTAAGTTGTTATCTCCAGTGTGGCCTTTTGCTGCTGGTTTTTTTTTAAAAAAAAATCTCCGTTTTGCAACAGGAACCTTGCAAAGGAAGCTGCCGTAACGCTGCGGTTGTGACAGCACCTCCACTTCCGACGTGCTGCTCCGACCGCCGCTCCCGCTTCATCCGCGCAGGAGCCGCCGCGGAGGCTCCTTGCAGAGCCCGGCCCTGCACGACGGAACGGCCGGGATGGAAACAGCCCCCGGAGCAGCCCCGCGTGCATGGAGAATCCGGCTGCCCTTGGCATCTCTGCCAAGGAACTGCAAAGTGAGCCTGCCCAGGCCATGGGAACCACTTGTGGTGGCTGCAGCCCTGCGGTTTGGGGCCTTTCACCAGGAAAAGGTGCCCTYGGAGTGGCGGCTCCAGGGCTTCCCGGCCTCCCCCTTGCTGGGTGTCACGTTGTGGGATGGGGTTTTTCCTGGAGCTCGTTTTTCCTGGCAGCTAATGGAGCCTTAAATACCCATCCGGGGCTCCCGACGCCTCAGCCCGAGGTTGCCTCCGGAGGGAGATTTCTACAATAATAGGAAAATTACTGGGCTTTTTGTCCCCCCCTTTCCCAGCTCAGAGGCAGGATCGTGCCAGTTGGGACGCGTTGTCCGCAGCTTCTTGGGAAAGGTTTGTTTTCCTCCCTCCGCTTCCATGTTTATCTGTGGGTGCCTCATCTCTAACAAGGACCAGATGTCCTCCCCGGGGTCGCTGCCCTTGTTTTCCCCTCCACGAAGCCTCCCAGAGTTCATTCCACCCGCAGGAAAAGCAGAGGAAAGCTCCGGTACTAGCGGAAAAGCCACGTGCGGTTCAGAACGACCCAAAAGCTGAAGAGGCACCGGGGCAACATCCCAGGGCTGGGAGGGCACTGGGATGTTGCTCTGATCCCAGCTGGTGTTTGGGACAGCTTGGCCATCGTGGGTGCAGGACGCGCCGGGCCTCCTGCATGCAGGTGGATGAGCCACATGGCTGCATTTCCACCTTTTAAAATATAATAATAATAATAATAATAATAATAATAATAATGCACCTGGCATTTATTTAGGAACTCCAGGGGCAGCGTCCCGGCAAAGCCGCTGCCGGCGGCACCGCTGCGGGCGGATCCCGGAGCGCCGGCGCTCGCGGGCACCCAGGCGGCCGCCTGCCAAAACGCCGGCGCCGCCTCCCAGGCCTGCTCCGGCACGCCGCTCCCTCCTGGGAACRGCCCGGAAAAGCGCAGGGCCCGCGTTAGGAATCAAGGGTTTTTTCTGCAAAGCGAGCCTGGCGCGTTCCCCACATCCCCCAGACCGGGCACGCTGGTGCCCGCCGGTCCCCGCCGCTCAGGCAGCTCCCGTGCCTGCGGCTCCTGCGTCCATGCTGCAGCTCCAAGGAGACCGGATGCTGCCAGGCTTTACTGGCTTATTTCACTTTTTATTTCATTTATTTCATTTGATTTCRCTCTTCCCGGCCCGCGGCACCAGGAACGGGCCCTGAGCTGTTGCCAAGGTGCCTCGGGCAGCCCCTCGTGCTCCCGCTGCCCGGGGACGTGCTGCCATCTCTGGAGCGGCCGGCGACACGGCAGCTCCCAGCCCCTGCGCGGGCCGCGCATCCCTGAGCGCCTTTTCCTTGGAAAAGCCTCCTGGGAGACAGCAAGCAGGGAGCTCGCGGCGCCTCTGCCCTCTCCCTTGTCCGGGAACGCCGGGAAGCTTGAGCAATGTCAAGTGGGAGACTTCCAAAACGCACCGCCAAAGTATTCCCGGGAATTTCTTCCTCCAGAAATGAAATCAGCTCGACCTCAGGAGGGAAATGCCGTGGGAGGTGCAGGAGCGCCAGCACCCTGGCGCAGCCGTGCCGGGAACGAGGGTAACGCTCCCGGATGGCGCCTGCCAGCGCCGGAGCAGACGGGCATGCGGGATCATCCAGTCTTATCCGACAAGCAGCCGCGGAGACGGGTGAGCGGTGGGAAACGGGGCTTGCGCTTGTCCGGCGCGCTGGATAAACGGGCACCGCTGCGTCCCGCGAGCTCAGCGCCCAGATGAAAGCCGCGATTAGCGGCCGTGCAGCCGCATTCCCAGATAAGCGGGAGCCGCCACGGAGCCCCGGGCCGGGCCTGGCGCCGGCCGCGCCGGTGCGGGGGCGATAAGATGCCTGGATTTGGGGGGTGGCCCCTGCGCTGGGATGGGGACAGCGTCCCGCGTGCGCCCTGCCGGCTCTGCGGCAGGGCTATTCCAGCACTCCGGATCGCTTTTATTCCATCAGGGCTGAACGCTGGGTCCTGTCGAGGGAGCGATGCCGGCAGCATCCCGAGCGCATCCACTGCCCCAGCGCTTCCTGGAGCCGTCCCGGAGCCATCCCAGAGCCATCCTGGAGCCGTCCCAGAGCCAGCCCGGAGCTGGCCTCTTCCCAAACTCTGCATAGTGCTGCTGCTTGGACACATTCACAGTTGCCCTGGGAGCGGTGCGAGACCCCCGGCCGTTCCGGGGGGCTAAGGGCAGCGCAGGGGCGGCGCGTCCGTCCTGCGCCAGTCCCCGGCGGTGCCGGTGCCCTTGAGCGGAGCCCGCCGGGAGCTCAGTCTCCGGCAGAGCCGGCGCACGAAGAGGCGGAACACGGAGGTGCGGAAGATGATGAAGACCCAGGGGTCCACGATGGAGTTGACGGAGAGGAAGCGCAAGGCGCTGAGGTCGGCGTTCTCGTTGAAGTCAGCCGCAAACGCCCCCATGTAGGCCCGGATCTGCCCCGGAAAATGAGAAAGGGAAATACTGAATATTAAAAAATAAGAATAAAATAAGAATAAAATAAGAATAAAATAAGAATAAAATAAGAATAAAACAAAATAAGAATAAAACAAAATAAGAACAAAGCAAAACAAAAATAAAATAAAATAAAATAAAATAAAATAAAATAAAATAAAATAAAATAAAATAAAATAAAATAAAATAAAATAAAATAAAATGTCAAGGGGTAACAGAAAGGCTCTGCCTGCTGGGGTGTCCCTGTCAGGACAGGTCTATGGCAGAAGCTGAAGGGCTGGGGTTGTTTCCCAGTGGGTGCACTGAGCCTCCCGTCCTCAGCGCGCTGCAGCTGTGGGTGCTGCCTGCAGTGGGACCCCATGTGCTGGGGGGTGTCCCAGCCCTTGGTGCCCTGGCAGGACCCAGGGCAGGGAGGAAAGAGGAGGAGGAGATTTTGGATGGGGTGTAACTTGGTGCCGGGAAGGGGGTGGTGGGATGGGAAGGAGCCCTATCCCTCCCACATCCTGCAATGGGGTGGGGGGGTGGGCAGGAAGAGAGGTGTTATTGGAAGGGGTTAAAGCAATGAAATAGTCCCCGGAATGGGGTGGGGGTGATAGGTGGTTATGGAGAAGGATTAAAGCRCGGAACCCACCACCCTGGACCTGTCAGGGCTGGGGTGGGGGTGCGGGAGCTATTCAAAGGGGTCTCGAGCAGCGATCCGCCCCCTCAGTACGGGTTGGGGGGGCTACTTCAAGGGGGTGGTGCTGGTGGGGGGGTCATCCCCGGGGTTACAGCTCAGGAGCGGCCTCCCCGAGCCCTGYGCGCGGGGCCGGGCCGGGGGAGCTGCGCGGCCCGAGGCAGCGAGCGGGCCGCCCCCTCCTGGACAAGGTGCCGGCTGCTGCTCCGGGGCAGCTGCGGCCAGGAGCCGGCCCGGGGCGCGGGGGGGACCGGGGGSGCTCCTTGGGGGCGGCTAAAGGACGGGGCCGAGCTCCGGCCGCGCTGCGGAAAGGGGGCGCCGGGGGGCGATGCTTTAAAGGGGTCTCAAGCAGCGAATTGATCCCTCCCGGAAAAGATGCCGGGGTTATTCCAAGGGGGATAATGCCACGAGCCCCCATCCCAGAGTCGGGACGGTGCTGATGGGGGGCWCATTCCAAGGGGGTTAAAGCAGAGCAGGGGTCTCCGCAGACTCCACGTTAGACGGGGCGGCGGGTTTTTAAAGGGGGGGTAAAAAGAAATAACCCGCCCCTCGAGGATTGGGACGGTGGAAGGGGGTGCTATTCAAGGGGGCTAAAGAAATAGAGCGGATCCATGGAAGAGGCGCTAATAAAGCGGTTCCAAGGGGGGCAACCGATTCAAGGGAAGGGGGGGGGTCGAGCTCAGGCGCCCCGGGGCGGGGGGACGCAGCGGCGGCTACTCACGATGAGCGGCAGCGAGCACACGGTGAAGAGGAAGGTCATGAGCCCCAGCAGCACGAGGTGGTCGAGCTCCTCCATGCGCGGCGCGGCGGCGGCGGCGGCGGGGGGGCCGCCGCCGCGGCGGGGCTGCCGGCGGGCCATGCCGTAGAGGTGCCGCATGCTGCTCACGTTGCACGCGGCCACGGCGAGCACGAGCAGCGCCAGGAGCGAGGCGTAGAGCACGGGGAAGGCGAGCTGGCCGGCGCCGCCGCCCGCCATGCGCACGAAGCACCAGGTGCCCGGGCAGTACTGCATGGGCGCGCCGAAGCCGAGCAGCGGCAGCGCGCAGAAGAGCGCGCACAGCCCCGCGGCCGCCGCCGCCGCCGCCGCCGCGCGCCGCCGCCGCGCCAGCCGGTAGCGGTAGGGCTGGCCCAGCGACAGGCAGCACTGCAGGGCCATGGCGAGCAGCAGCAGCGTGGGCGCCAGCCCGAAGAAAGCCATGAGGAAGGCGAAGAGCTGGCAGAGCGCGCCCGGCTCGCCCGCGGGCCGCCCGCCGGGCCACAGCTCGCTGAGGCTGCGGTTGCGCGCGTACGCGGCCAGCACTATGGGGCTCAGCAGGCACTTGCCCAGCAGGTCGGTGACCGCCAGCCCGCTCGCCAGCACGTAGAAGGCGGAGGCCCGCGGCGGGCGGCCGCCGGGCAGCCGCGAGCGCCGCCGGTGCTGCCCGAGCAGCAGCAGCGCCAGCACATTGCCCACGAGCCCCGCGCCGAACAGCACCGCGCTGGGCACCGCCGACTGGCCGCTCTCGATGGAGCGGCTGCTGCGGCACTGGTAGCCCGCGCCCTCCATGCGGCCGCTGCCGGCGACTGGCGGCCCSTCGGCGGCGGGAGCGGCGGAGGCGGCGCCGTCGGGGCGGCCCCGGGGCGCAGCCTCGCTCGTCCCGCCTCCCCCGGGGCCGGCGCGGAGCCTCCGGCGGAGCAGCGAGCGCGCGGCGCCGCCCCCGAGCCCCGCTGCCGCCCGGGGACCCCCCCGAGGCCTCCCCTCCGCTGCGCGCCCCGTCCCTGCGGCTCCCCCCGGGCTYGTCCAGGTAGCAAACTGGGAATTTCCTCCCAGCCTCTCCCGGGATGGGAGCCCCCCCGGGCTGCCGCCGGCGTCTGAGGGCGGATAATGTGACCCCGCTCCGGCCGCTGGCGGGGCCCGCTTTGCTCGGGGCTGCGCGGGTGCCCCAAGCGCTTGGAAGCACCGAGAGGATGCGGGGAGGCCCAAAGCTCCCCGCGGTGGGCACGGGCGAAACGAGCGGCGCTTCCTGGAACGGGCGGTGCTGGCGGCCCCGGGGCAGCGGGCACGTTGGCATCACGGCTCGACCCGCTCCCGCAATGAGGCTGGGCCGGGGGGGCACCGGCTGCAGCGGGGGGGCTGCGGCATCGCTGCCTCCCTCCRCTCCGGCCTCTCCGAGCGCGTTTGGCAGGTGCCAAAACGGCAGCTTGGGGGCAGCTGCCCCTGGCCAGGAACCCCCGGGGGTCTCAGAAAGTGACGTCTGGGGACAAGTGAGACGGGGCCAGCAGGAATCCGCAGCTCCGAGGAGGAGGAGGAGGGACTGTGACAACCAGCCCTTTGCTGGAGYGATGCCACCAGCATGGGCAGGGCGGCTGGAAACCCCACGGGGACTCTGCCTAGGTGGCCTCCGAGCACCCTCTGACATGGAGTGGCCGTGGGGAGAGCAGGCAAAGAAACGGGATTTTGGGGAATATCTCCCGGTCCAGCAGTGCCTCCCCAGGGAACTGGTGCTGGCCGAGGGCTCCGGTCAAGGCGACCGCGGGACGGGGGGAGCAAAGACACCAGCACGGGAGGAAACCCAGTGTGGGGAGGAGAGATGTCCCGGCCTTTATTTAGCTGTTTTTTTTTTTTTTTTTTTTTTTTTTTTTTTTTTTCTTTTTCTCTCTTTTTTTTTTTTCCTGCCCCTCTTCTGTGTTTTGGGCTTTTCTTTTTTTTTTTTTTTTCTTTATTTCTCTATGCATTCACCAAATTGCAGCTCTTTGGGGGGAACCGCTTTGAAAACATCCTCGTCACCGTCAGGGTGGATGACGAATCGCTGCTGCTCATCAGCTTCCGAGGTGGCGGCTCCCTCCTCCCCGCTCACGGGGGCGGGCGAGGAAAAAGCCCGGTCGGTAGGAAAAGCTGCAAGTCACACACATAAAAATAAYAATAAATAACCCGAAGACAAAGGAGGAGCTGGAAAAACTTTCACTGAGGAATCTCCTGGCTGTTTCCAGCCCTCCTGAGCAACGTGTCCCCGGGGCACTGGGTCACGTCTGCTGCTCGGCCTGTCCTGTCCCATCCCGCAACCGCTGGGTTCCTGCAGCTGCATGTTGCCTTTGGAAGCTTCTGCTTCCAGATCCACATAATCTAATTTAGATCCCATCGGGTGGGAGAGCTTTGGCATCGCCGAGGCCAGGAAGGCTGGTGGGCAGCTCGGCTGGGTKCTCACAGGCCATGGAGCAGAGCTGGGAGGGGGATCCAGGGAAAAGCCCCCGCTCCATGCAGTAGAATCCCTGCTKGCGCTTCTTCATCCAGCCTCTCTTCCTCCCTCTATCCAGGGCACAGGTGGCCGRAGATTCCCACCTGCGGCTTTGCTCCCTTCATGGAGAGGGTTTTCCCTGCTGCTTCCGAGGGGGCAGTTGTCCTTTGCCCCCTTCCCGAGCAAGCAGCGCTGCCTCCCTCTCTCTGCAGGGACCTTTCCCGGTGCTTCCCTCTCCTCTGCAGCCCTGGCACCCCACAGGAGCCAACCCCATCCTGGGCCAGAACGGCACAGGAGCAGGTTGCACCCAAGGGTGCCAGGCCGGGCAGCACCTGCCTGCTCCCTACACCCCCTTGCAAGTTATGTTCTTCCTTGCTGGGAAAGCAGGGAGGAATTTCCATATGGGAAAGGGCAGGGATGGGGAATCTCTCCCTGGAGGATCTCTCTCCGGGTGATTATTTCCAGATGTGCTATTGCAAAGCAGCCGGGCTGGCGGAGCCCTGGCCACACAGGGAAAGTGCCAAAGGGCYGGTTGGGCATCCGGGCRGCASCAAAGCCCGGCGCAGGASAGGAGCCGGGAAGCAGGAGCCGGGATCTGGGATGTGGGGTGGGAGGTGCTGGGCAGGGGGGCCGGGCCGYGGCTGCGGCGATTCCCGATTGCACAAATCCAAAAAGTCCAGGGCTGCGGTGCCGGGAAGCGGGGAACTGGGACAGCCCCGTCGCCGCCGCAAGCAGGGGTGAGTCCCGCGGCAGCCGCTCCGCACATTTCCCGGGGCTCCCGCAGGTGCCGGAGGAGCCCGGCCTGGCTGCTCTCCTGGCTCCTCTCCGTCCCTCTGTCCTTCGCTCTGTCCCATGGGGCCCAATTTGGCTGGAGTGTCCAGGGGCTGCAGGGCTCACTGTGCTCTGAGCCTGTCCCTGGGGGTGTAGGGAGGGATGGTGGGATTAAGGGATGATGGGATTGAGGGATGATGGAATTAAGGGATGAGGGGAGGGATTAAGGAAGGAAAGGATGGTGGGATTAAGGGATGGATGGAGGGATGATGGGATTAAGGGATGGTGGGATTAAGGGATGGAGGGATTATAGGATAGAAGGAGGGAAGGATGGTGGAATCAAGGGATAGGGGGATTCTGGGGTTAAGAGACAGAGGGAGAGATTAGGGAATGGAAGGATCATGGGATTAAGAGATGGAARGATGGTGGGATTAAGGGGTGGAGAGAGAGATTAAGGGTTGAAGGGATTAAGAGATGCAAGGAGGGATGGATGGTGGGATTAAGGGAGGGAGAGATAGTGGGATTGAGGGATAGTGGGATTAAGGGAGGGATGAAGGGAGGGAAAGGTGGTGAGATTAAAGGATGGTGGGATTAAGGGAGAGAAGGTTTGAGGGATGGAAGGAGGAAGGACTGGCTGGATTAAGGGAGAGAAAGATTATGGGATTAAGAGATGGAGGGAGAGATTAAAGGAGGGAGAGAGAAAGGAAGGGCCCTCCCCGCCGGGCCCTGCCCCGTCCCGCACCCAGACCCTGCACCCGGGCCCTGCACCCAGACCCTGCACCCGGGCCCTGCCCCGTCCCGCACCCGAGCGCGGCCGGGCCTCTGCTCCGCCCCGCGCGGCACCCTGCGGGGCCCGGCCCGGCACCCGGCGCCTTCCCCGGCAGAGGGAGCGAGCGGCCCGGCCACGCGGCCCGGCAGCCCTGCCGCCCCCGCCTGCCTTCTATTTATTTATTT